ACGACGAGGCCACACCGGATCACGCAGTCGGATTTAAAAAGCAGCGCCTGGCCGAGGCAGGGACAAGGTTTTTCGCGAGGCCAAGTTGCATGCCCGAGATCCCCCACACTGGGCCAAGCAAACACGATCTCACACAGGAGCGAATCGAGCTTCGAGCGGCACGCGACAGCACTCGCGAGTTGGATGCCGCGGAGGTCCAGTTGGGAGAACTTCCCGGAAGTCCCGCATCCTCCGACAGCAGCCCCAGAGAGCCATTCGCGAATATTTCGGGCAGGCTTCTCGCGAGGCACGGCCCCGCCGAACCGCGAGCGAGGCGGCGGGCCCGGCCCGGCGCGCTGCGCGCTGCCGCCTTCCTTCCGCGTCACCGATTTCGCGACAGGATTGGTTCGATGAGCGGTCGTCACCTGGAGGAGAGGGCACGAAGGCGCATCCGATCGATCTGGAGGAGTAGAGGCCTACTCGAGGTGGCATGGACTTGTGCCAGATTTACAACGTTGCTTGCAACGACCCACGTTTGAAAGAACTTGCGCCCATCGGTATGAAGCGGCTTCGCCGATCTGTTCGCCGAGCACCGCAACGCCGAGATGTTTCTGATGCCACCGCTCGTCTGGGGCTCTGCTTGCAGCGTCTCCACCCAGAGAGGCGCGCGCCGGGCTCTGGGCGCCCCATCCAGCCCCAGCGGAGCAGGCCCTTTAATTCCGAAGTCCTCGATGGTGCCACCACGGAGATGCGCATTTCGAAACTGGCACCGCTCGACTGGGGCACGAGTCGAGGCTGCGCCTTGTACAAGTCGGCCCAACCAGCGTACCGGGGGGGAATGACTGCACATGCCCCCCTGGTGGCGGGCAATTTCCTCTTCGCGGACCCCCCCCAAAATTAAGCCCCGCGCCGAGGACAATCGTTTCCAATAACACCGTCGGAGAGGAGGGGCCACAAAGGCCTCGCTGGCGACCGGGCTGACATCGCCTAAGTCACAGTGCATGGCGGACCGGAATGGATACTAGAATGCGTCATTCGGCCCACCCATAATTTGGTGCGCTGCATAGAGGACGGCATCGCGACGCCGATGCATCATTACCTAATGATGAGGTGGAAGTGGAGGCGAAGGCTAGAGCAGGAGGAGGCATGGGAGACCGTTCGCGGCCGCAGCTCTCTCCACGAGATTTCATCTCCCCGCGCAACAGTTGACAGAGTATCTGCGAGAACTTGGCCCGACGATCCATTCGTCGCGCCCCCGAGTGGGACGGCCGCGAGGTCGACTTTCGCTAGCGCAAGTATGTCGGCGGGGGCACGGGGGTTGGCGGCGTGGATCGATTGTGGATGGGGCACTCCTGGCCAGAGGTGCCTTCCCGGGCCGGGACAGGCTCTTCTTTCGAGGGCGCCGAAAGAGGAGGTTCTGATTCTTTGGCCCCAGATTCCACGTCTCAGGATGCCCATGAGGAGGTATCTCGACGGCGCCAGGCCATTTCGCTCAGTCTCCCATTCGACGCGTGGCTTCTGGTCGCTGCCCCTTACCTGGAAGGTGACGCGTTCAACGCTCTTCCGGAACAGAATCAGGTCTGCGCGGCCTCGAGGCCTTCCTGATTGCCAATCAGCAGCGTGCACGGCTGGGTGGGGCCGCCGCCCATTGCGCCCGCGTTGCAATGCGGCGCCGAACAAGCTAGGCCACGGAGCGCAGTGCAACGCGCACTCTCACTTCAAAGGGGACGTTGAAACATTGGCGCATGTGCGCGACGCCTGTCGAGCTGCTGCCGCAGCCAGCGGGTTGGATTCACGGGGCGCCCGGGCGCGGAACAGATGGGGGCTGCCCGTCGGCGCCGCCAGGCAAGGCGCTCGACGCGTGCGACGCCATAGGCAGGGGGGAGAAGACGGAGCGGGGCCTACAGGCGGCCCTGTTGAAAGTCATGGCCAAGCGGCGCCTCGGCGACCCGCGCGAGTTGGCCAACTTCGAGGGGGCGGCGCTCCAGACGTTAGATTGAGAAGCCCGTCGAGAACCCCGCGCACATCATGACCAACGCGGGCGCCAGGTACAACGCCGCTTCCACCGAGCGCCAAACAACGCCAGCTCAAAGGGGGGGAGATCGATTTCAGAGCCAGGGACCTCTTCGCGCGCAGATGCGGGAGGCGGCACGGGCAAAAGGCCGAAGGGGTCCTGCAGGGCAGCCCTGAGTCGAACGCAGCGGCGGTGGAAAAGTGCAAGGGGTATTTCCAGAAGCACATCCAGTCGGCCACGCCGGATAAGGTCGTCAAGTTTGCGCTCCACTTCCGCTATCCCGAGCACAAGACGAGCAAGAAAGAGGAGCAGGAACAGGGAGGCGCTGCGGACTGAAGCCAGAGCTACAAAGTTCAGGAAGGCCGCAGCACGTTCGTTCTCAGATATGACGACGCGGGTTCGACAGCACGCAAGCTGCTCCTCCAGTTCCTGAACGACGGGGCCGTCTCCAAGGCGGCGCAGCTGGCCGGGCCAGCCCCCAAGGGCCTTTTCGATCGGAAGTCGGCGCGACTCTTGGGTCAGATCGAGAAGAAGTGAACCCAAACGCAGGCGTGTCACGGAGTGAACGTTATGTGGGTGCGGTTATAGCACCTTGGGAGGGAAGTGGATTTGACGCTCAATCGAACTTGTCTTGCCCATGGACGGGCATCGGGTGCTTGTCAGGAAGAAGGTACCCTGGCGACGTACCCAATCCCTGCGCAATGCGGGGCATGAGTAGCTTGGGAGACGTTATACGGAGGTGATGACGTGGCATGCGCGCGTATACTGCTGCGAGCGGCATTCGCGAGGCTCGCAGCCCCCCAGGGATTGCGAGGTCCCGCTCAGATCTGCGTGGTGCCTCACTCCGCTGGACCCGCCACCAGCTTCCGAAAGTGGCGGCGGTTTCGCAGATGGCAGCCCCCCAGGGACGGCGAGGTCCCGCTCAGGTTTGCGCGGTGCTTCATTTGGCTGGACCCACCAGCAGCCTTCGAAAGTGGCGACGGTTTCGCAGATCGCAGCCCCCCCAGGGACGGCGAGGTCCCGCTCAGATCTGCGCGGTGCCTCACTCCGCTGGCCCCCCCAACAGCCCTCGAAAGTGGCGACAGCGTCGCAGATCGCAGCCCCCCCAGGGACGGCGAAGTCCCGCTCAGATCTGCGCGGTGCTTCATCCCGCTGGACCCACCAGCAGCCCTCGAAAGCGGCGACAGCTTCGCAAATCGCAGCCCCCCAGGGACGGCGAGGTCCCGCTCAGATCTGCGCGGTGCCTCACCCCGCTGGACCCCCAGCAACCCTCGAAAGTGGCGACAGCTTCGCAGATCGCAGCCCCCCAGGGACGGCGAGGTCCCGCTCAGATCTGCGCGCCTCACTCCGCTGGACCCACCAGCAGCCCTCGAAAGTGGCGACAATTTCGCAGATCGCAGCCCCCCAGGGACGGCGAGGTCCCGCTCAGATCTGCGCGGTGCCTCACTCCGCTGGACCAACCAGCAGCCTTCGAAAGTGGCGACAATTTCGCAGATCGCAGCCCCCCAGGGACGGCGAGGTCCCGCTCAGATCTGCGCGGTGCCTCACTCCGCTGGACCCACCGGCAGCTTTCGAAAATGGCGACAATTTCGGAGATCGCAGCCCCCAGGGGACGGATCTGCGCGGTGCCTCACTCCGCTGGACCCACCAGCAGCCTTCGAAAATGAGAACGGCTTCGCAAATCGCAGCCCCCCTGGAACGTCGAGGTCCCGCTCAGATCTGCGCACCAGCAGCCCTCGAAAGTGGCGACGGTTTTGCAGATCGCAGCCCCCCGGGGACGGCGATGTCCCGCTCGGATCTGCGCGGTGCTTCATTCCGCTGGACCAACAGCCTTCGAAAGTGGCGACGGTTTTGCAGATCGCAGCCCCCAAGGGACGGCGAGGTCCCGCTCAGATCTGCGCGGTGCCTCATTCCGCTGGACCCACCAGCAGCTCTCGAAAGTAGCGACAGCTTCGCAGATCGCAGCCCCCCAGGGACAGCGAGGTCCCGCTCAGATCTGCGCGGTGCCTCACTCCGCTGGACCCACCAGCAGCCTTCGAAAGTGGCGACAGTTTCGCCCGTAGTTTATTCCATACGAATACCCAACCAAGGAGGGTTGGGAAACAAATGAATTTCACATAGGGAGAGGCCGTGAAGGAGTCGTTCGGGAGAGGGAGCGAGGGAACGGGCCCAGGAATCATTCCATCTCTCTTCAGAAACACCAGTTCTCATACAGATGCTAATCCAAATGCTTCCCCCCATCCCATTAGTTGTGGCTCCGAAGCGGGTTCCGCAAAGAGGGAAAGGCAGTAGCAAGGACCGCAGATCCAGCCGTGAGTCGATCCCCTGGGTGGCCCGCTCGTGCATGCTTGCGCGGCGTCTGAGGGTTGGCCACCACTCGGGGGCAGTGCTGGTCCAGCCAGCGGGGGCCACCTCATTGGTTTAAGGCCACTCCGCTCCCTCTGAGTCGGGCTGCACAGAGTTCGTTGCCAGCTTATTGGTGTGAGGTTTGAGCAAGTCATTTGGCTCATTGCTCATTGCTCCTCCTCCTCTCCAGAGGTCACGGAGAGTCTTTGGAGGTCCCTGGAGGCACACCGGGGCTGCCAGAGGCCCCCCAAACCTCCGACGGCCCGAAAAGCTGTGGAACGCCCGAGAAATTCGACCTTCGATCCCCACACCCTCCCGTGGCCCATCCCCGCAAGTTCGTCGAATCGCGGCCCAGCCACGGCGACGAGAACTTCAAGAACCGCATCCCAAATTTTCAAAGCGACAGCGACGACGACGACGACGACGACGACGACGACGGCCAGCATCCTGTTTTTGAGGGGAACGCCCGCGTATGACTCTTTACGTAAGTGGACACGTCCTGACCACATCCAACTACACGTTCGTCCAGCACCGGCGGCGAGGACCTCCGCAAAGTCCCCAAAATTTCCGAATCGACAGCTTCGGCGTCGGCGACGCGGACGACGAAGTCGATGACGGCGACGACGATGGCGACGACGACAACGACGACGACGAGGACCAGCATCCCCTGAACTACAAATTGCTCGCGGCCTTCACGGTGCTGATCAGCCTGCCGGTGGGCTACGTGTGCGCCGTGTACTACTCCGCTGGCCTGGGCTGGCTTGCAGCGGGCTCGGCGGCCCCCCAGGTCTTATAACATTTGACTGAGAGGCGATACGCGTGCGACCAACAACAACAACAACAACAACAACAACAACAACAACAACAGCAACAGCAGCAGCAACAACAACAAAAATCGCGCGCCGCCTCGGGGTGGCGGAGGCGACTTCCGAAGATTAAGTGTTCTGCTTTTGGGGGGGGGTCGGGGGGGAGGGGGCCTGGTGTCCACGGCTGGACTCAACACAGAATATTGGTCAGGGTGGTTTCCAAGAGGTCACATGAAAGCGGGTGTCGGCAGATAGAGGGCTTCTGGGCATCGGCAGATATGATGGAGGCAGAGAGACGACAGGGATGCGACAAACAAGATACGGCAGGTTCGTGCCACCCCGACGCGGTTGCCAAGTTGTCGGTGGTGTTCAAGTTTGAAAACCCGCACGTTGCTCCGTTTCTGGTCCGCCAGGGCCCACAAAACAACCAACGGCGTGAAAAAACAGAAGGCGTTGCCGACAGCCTCTGGAAATCTCCGAAAGCGAAAAGCGAAAATCGTTCAAGATTGAACGGCCCACGCGGTGTCAGAAACTAGGCCAACGCCGTCAAGCAACATTTTGCCGCATTTTGCAGAGCCAGCCCGGTTGGTGTTTGCAGGGTTTCCCGTTAGTGTTGCTCTGCCTCCGCCTCCGCCTCCTGCTTGTACGCCGCGAACGACGGCAGGGCCCTCGGGGAGAACCCAGGCGTAACCCAGGATCTGCAGTCAACCCGCATAAGAATGATGGGCATCCTTCCCAAGGGTACCCGTGCATCCTTGCCTTCTCGGACCATCCTTGGCCACTGTCCTTGGCCGTGCCCCGCTCGAAAAGCTTCGAAATGGGCGTCCAAGACCCTTGCATCCTCATCGCGCGTCGTTCTGATACGGGCCGACTGCATTAGCAGGCGAATATGAAACTGGCCACATACACGTCACAGCCACAAACACCTTGGCCCTGAAACACAAAAACCAGCCCTACCACCACCACCGAAGCGCACACTTCACAATGTTCGCGTGTCAATAGCGCACAGGAGGCACAACATAATCTTATGTGTCAATCGGGCACCAAAACAGAAGCACGTATGGTTGTGAGGAAGGGACAAGGACCGAAACCAAGCAATGCCCTGGCTGCAAGGGCTTGAGGGCGAGAGGTCGGCTCGCAGAACAATAGAACCGCCGACGGATCAATGCACCTGTAGTGAGCCGCCCCAGTGGACGAACTTCGTAGCACATCAACAGCCACCTGGAGACTGTGTGTGGCACGGCACTGTATGACACGAGACGCCTTCTGTATTGGATCCGCTAATGATCCCGACGCCACAATGCCCGTAATTGGCACCGAGTTGTACCTCAAGGAAACGTAGAGCCCCCGAAATGAACACAAACCACGGCACCCGCCACATACGGTTCAGACCGACGCGGGTTGACCAAACGAGTCGCTTGCCTGCCCCCCGAGGATCCGCAACTGCCACTGACGCCCCAGCTGGAGCCTCGGCTGACACTGACGCCCAAGTCGACACTCCCACGGAGGAAACAGCTTAAGCCCCAACCGTCTCCGCGGCGTCATGATCCCAGGGAGGGTGTGCATTCCCGCCCCCCACAAACCTGATGGCTCAGAAGAGACCAGAGCAAAGTCAAGAGGACTCAAACACCGCAGCACTCGACCGTACCTCTCCAGCGGCACTGCAGGGGGCTCCCCGAATGGGGGCGGGGTCAGCCACGTCTGCTGCCCCCATCCCTCCGACCACATCCGCTCCCGGAGGCCCAAGGGCCCCAGCGGGGGAGCGGACCGCGGCGAGAACTGTGACCCGGGGGAGGAGGAGAGCGGGGAGGGGGAGCAGGGTTGGACCTATATAAGCGTCGTTTTGCCGGATTTCGGCCGTGTCTTGTTCTTCGTTATTGGCAGGGGGGCACAGGAAAAACAGGCAGGGCAGAACGGACAACGAAACGCAAACGCAACGACAAACGGCGTGTAGGTCCAGCCCTGAGGGGGGGAGGAGGAGCGGACTGGAGGAGGAGGGAGACAGGACAGGAGGGAGGGGCGCAGGCCCGCCACAGCCGAGTTGCCCCCCGCCCCCAGGGGGGGGGCCCAGCGCACCAGCAGGACACGGGGGGAGGGCGCGCTGCCGACGAGCGGCCGCGTCCGCAGACCGGAGGCCTGTGCACCACTGCTCGTCCGCTGCGTTTGCGTTGTCCGACGAAGCAGCCACGGAAGTCGTCTCCCAGGGGCGGACCTCAAACGGTGTTTTGGCGACCTCGTGGGCCGTTTTCGTTTTGCTATCGTTTTGCAGCAGGGGCGAACTCCAGACAGAACGAGGGGAACACGAAAACAAAGCGAAAACGAAAAACACGGTTCAGGTCCAGCCCTGTTGTCACCCGAAGGGGCGCGAGCCACGCTTCCCAGGTCGAACAAGAGGGGGGCGTAGGGAAAGGCGGGGGGTACGAAATCTTTTGGCAGGCCGCTGGTTTCGGCTCCGCCGCCGGGCGCCTTCCTCGATACACTGGTCAGGAGGAGAAACAAGACACACAGACACAAGTAAGCGTCGACTCCCAGGAAAATTGCGAAGGCCTTACGGCTGGTGCCGCCGACCCTGAAGGGAGACGACGACGACGACGACGACGACGACGACGACGACGACGACGACGACGACAACGGCGGTGGCGACGGCAACGACGACGACGCTGACGTGGGCCAGAGTCCTCAAGGATGGTTCTTGGGGTCTCTTCGTAAGTCTCTCGGGGGCCTCTGGGGAGGAATTTGGGGGCCTCTTGGGAGCCTCTTGGGGGCCTCTTGGGAGCCTCTTGGGAGCCTCTTCGGGCTCCCTGGGGACCTCTTGTGGGCCTCTTGGGGCCTCTGGGGGAACCTCTGGGGGCCTCCTGGGAGCCTCTTGAGGCCGAGGGCTCGAAATGTCCGTTCGGGTCCTCCGTCTGGGCACGCTCTTGGAGCCGTCTTGGGGGCATCTGAGGCTGTTTTCGAGGCGTTCGGGGCTATCTTAGGGTCCTATTGGGCTGTTTGGAGGCCTTCTTGGAGGCCTCTTGGGCCGTCTTGGGGAGATTTCGGGGGCCTCTGGCGCAGTTTCGGAGCGGCGGGAAGTGGAAAAGGCGAGAACGCGAGAACGCCCAAACCTTAAAACAAGCAGCGACAAATCTATGAATTTGGCCTATTGGGGCCCTCTTGGGAGTGCTCTTGGAGGCGTCTTGGGGCGTCCTGGAGGCCTCCTGGGAAGTCTGGAGGGCGTGTAGGCGTTTTGGACCGATCGTTTGGCGATTAGGGACCCTCTTGGACCGTCTCGGCGACCTCTTGGGACACTCTTGGCCTGTCTTGGTACTTTCTGAGGCCCCAGGGCCCCCAGGGGGGGAACGCGTATCTGGGTGGCGACCCCCCCGGGACACCCCCCCGGCGCGGGGAAGGGATCAAAGGGAAGGGGCTTCCCTTCGACTCGATTACGACATTGCTAGATTTTTCTCTCGCTGACAAGCTTGAGGAGGAGGGTGCAGGGAAAGGGGATGACGGAGACGACGACTGACGGAGACGACGACTCGAACAGCCAAACCCCTCACGCGCCGACAGGGTCGGCGGACATTGGAAAAAATGGGAAGTGGGGGGGGGGAAGACGAAAACCCAGAAAATATAGGAAAATGTGGTGAATCCGGATTTGTGTCCATTTATTTCTGTATCCGTGGGCTCCCTCATACTGGCGCTTTCGGCGCCGGGCGGTGTCAGAGAAATCAGCTGCGTGAACTGACCTGCGACCCCCCCAAGGACCGACCACAAAGCTGTTTAGCTTGGTTTGGGCCTTTGTTGTGTACTTTTCATTCCATTGTTCGGTGTTGCTTCGTTTCGTTGGCCGTTTTCGTGCTGAAGGCCTCGCGTCGTTGTTCGTTTCGTTTGGCACTGGGTTCGTTTCAAACGCTGGTTGTCAACACTGAACGAATTTCGACGTTTCGTTTCGTTGTTCGAGGTTTCGTTCAAACAATCGTAGGTTTCGTTTCGTTTCGTTTCGTTTCCAATTTCGACGAATTGAACATTCAAACAATCGTAGGCTTCGCTTCGTTTTTCGAATTTAACGCCATTTCGTTTTGAACGTCGCTGTGGTCGGCTCTCGGGCCCCCCTCTTTTCGACCCCCCCTCGTCGTCCGACCCGGGGGTGTCGTGATCGGCAGTCCGAGCCAGAGAAACAGGCTTTTGCAGGGGGAGGGCGCGGCAGGGCGAGGGGGAGCGCTCTCTCTCTCTCTCTCTCTCTCTCTGCGGGGCGCGACGGAGCGAAGTTGAGTGGCCAAAAGGCGAGCCAACTGAAGACAAAACAAGGCGAGCCAGGAGCACTCCCCTGGGCCCCGCTTGTTTTCCCCGACCCGCTGCTTGACGCCCCGAGCCGTGAAAAGGGCACCCGAACGCGGCCGAAACCGTTCCGTCGTTGTTGTTCTGACGATTCCAGGGGGTCTTGGGATCCTCGTCCTGTTCTGTTTCCTTTTTGAGGCGAGGTTCGATGTGAGGTACAAAGAGGAGGCGGAGGATGCAGAGGAAGGCAAGACAGTCATTTCTCACGGTCACGAAAGCCACATTCCCGTACGAACAAGCGAACACGGCGTAACGGTTGAACCACCACCGATGAGCACTTCATTCCAATGATGCATCGTCTCGATCTACATACTGAGCCGATTAATACGCGAAACGTGTAAATGGCGTGAAAGGTTTTAGCCACAACATGACGAATGCAATCGCGTTGGGAAAACATAGGCGGCGTTAGCGGGCGATATCGCTACTCATCGACATTGTCCAGGCAATGGTGGAGGCCAAAGCTCTCAGCTACATTGTTGGGCCTAGCGCTTGCGAGAAGGACAAGAATTGGCATCTAGCGATGGCGCTGTTCAGCAATATATCAGAAACGGAACTGGAACCCAACGCGGCTTGCTACCGCGCTGGGACCAATTCATGCCGGAAAGGCGCGCAGTGGCAACAGGATTTGGTGTTGTTCAGCGAGATGTGGCAGACGAAGGTAGATCCCAATGTCATCACACATTCGGAATATGGACACCAGAAGATGTTCCATGAATATTTCCCAACCATCTTGTGGTGCTGGGTCCTCGTTTTGAAGAGACAGTCCCCGAGTTCATTCTTTCTCCTTTTCCCCCCCCTTCCCTCATCCCATGCCTGCCTTGGCCCTCCGAATGTCAACCTGTTCGGCACACCCCTCACGCGCTTCGTGGCCCCATAGCGAGCTCCACCGAAGGCCCCAGTGGCAAAGTCCAAACGCGGTTCCCCGCCCATTTCGGCACACCCCTCACACGCTCCGTGGCCCCATAGGGAGCTCCACCGAAGACCCTGGTGACAAGGTCCGCATGCGGTTTCCCGCCCCATGTCGGCACACCCTTCACACGCTTCGCGGCCCCATAGGGGCTACACCGAAGGCCCCAGTGGCAAGGTTCAGATGCAGTTCCCCGCCCTTTTCGGCGCACCCATCACACGCTTCGTGGCCCCATAGGGAGCAACACCGAAGACCCCCGTGGCAAAGTCAACATGCTGTTCCCCGCCCATGTCGGCACATCCATCACACGTTTCGTGGCCCCATAGGGAGCTACACCGAAGGCCCCAGTACATGCGGTTTGTTACCAATTTCGGCACACTCCTCACTCGCTTCGTGGCCCCATGGGGAGCTGCACAGAGGGCCTCAGTGGTAAAGTCCACATGCGGTTCCCCGCCCATTTCGGCACCTTTCTCACACGATTTGTGGCTCCATAGGGGGCTAGGGAGCTCCACCGAAGGCCCCACTGGCAAAGTCCACATGCGGTTCCCCGCACATAGCACACCCCTCACACGCTTCGTGGCGCCACAGGGAGCCTCATCGAAGGCCCCAGTGGCAAAGTCCACATGAGGTATTATTCCCCAATTGGGCACACGCCTCACACGCTTCGTGGCCCCATAGGGAGCTACACCGAACGCCCCAGTGACGAAATCCACATGTGGTATTCCCATTTCGGCACCCCTCACACGCTTCGCGGCCCCATAGGGAGCTACACCGAAGGCCCCAGTGGCAAAGTCCACATGCGGTTCCCCGCACAGTTGGGTACCCCCCTAACGCGTTTCGTGGCCCCATAGCGAGCTCCACCGAAGGCCCCAGTAGCAAAGTCCACATGCGGTATTACTCCCCAATTGGGCACACCCCTCACACGTTTCGTGGCCCCAAAGTGATCCACACCGAAGGCCCCAGTGGCGAAGTCCACATGTGGTATTCCTCCTCATTTCGGCACACCCCTCACACGCTTCGCGGCCCCAAAGGGAGCTACACCGAAGGCCCCAGTGACAAGGTCCACATGCGGTTCACCGCCCATGCCGGCAAACTCCAAAGCTTTCGTGGCTCCATCGGGAGTTCCGCCGAAGGCCCCAATTGCAAAGTGCGCATGCGGTCCCACGCTGGCGCACCACTCACACGTTCCGTGGCCCCACAGGGAGCTCCACCGAAGGTTCCAGTGGTAAAACCCGCATGCGGTTCCCCGCCCATAATCGGCACACCCCTCACACGTTTCGTGGCGTCATGGGGAGCTCCACCGAAGGCCCAAGTGGCAAAATGCGCATGCGGTTTCCCGCCCATGTCGACACCCCTCACACGCTTCGTGCCTCCATAGGGAGCTACACCAAATGTCCCAGTGGCAAAGTCCACTTGCGGTTCGCCGCCCATTTCGGCACACCCCTCACACGTGTCGTTGCCCCAAAGGGAGTTCCACCGAAGGCCCCAGTGGCAAAGTCCACATGCGGTTCCCCGCGCATGCTCGTACACTTCACAGGTTTCGTGGCCAAATGGTGAGCTCCACCAGAGGCCCCAGTAGCATGCATGGTCCACATGCGGTTCCCCGCCCATTTCGGCACATTCCTCACCCCTCCCAGCGGTGCCCACAACGCGGCAGTCACGATTGCATATGGTTGGGTCTTTCGCCAGGATTTGTGTTATCCCTCGACGGCCTCGGGGTCCCGCATAAGCCCTGAGTAACCTCAGGGATGCCAGACATCGGAAAATGATCGAAAACCTCGATCCCCATAACTAACCCCGACGTCGCGATCTTGTTACAACGTGGACCCCCCGAGGTCTTGACGCCCTCCTCGAAGCCGGCTGATCCTCCCGAGCCGTGCTTTGACGGGTTTGTGGCCCCCTGGTGGGAGCCCCACGGAGGCCGACAAGAGCCCAATATGTTATGCCGTGTTTTCCTTCCCGACCCGCAGACAGCTCGCACCATAAGGATGAGCGATTTTCCCAGGTTACAGCCGGACAGAGGTATCAGATCGAGGTCGGTTCGGGGAGGGTACCCTAGTGTTCTTCTTGCTTGTTGGAGGTTCTTGTGCATCCTGGGGAGGGTTCCCTTGGATGTTCTGATTGTCTTGGCCGGCAGAGGGTCTCATGTTCTTGTGGCATGTTCTTCTGGCCTGGGTCCGACAGTGCCCTTGCACCCGCCCCCCATCGGCCCGGCCTCGGCCGCTTCCGCTGGCCGCGCCCCGCTCGCAGAGTGTCGACGTGGCCTTCCAAGGCCCTCCTGCATCTCTGTCGTGCGTTACGATGTTCCAACTACTTTAGCCTTGATCGCCAGGAAGAATTTCGAGCACCAAGTAAATACCGAAACTCGAGGGGTTTCACGTGTCGGGCCCTGGGAGACACTCTTTCGACACTCTTTCGGGTGCTCGAAATTATGTCTGGGATGCGGTCCTTGAGTACGATGGGAGCAACAGAAGTCGTGCGTCCTTCTCTGGCGACCTCGCGTGATCGGCGGAAGTGCGCCAGGATCCAAAGCGCGGTCTGGCATATTCAAATGCAGACGCGCCCAGAATCGCATTGGGCGCGATTTCGCGCTTCTGAGCGCATGTGCGCCTGAATGGCAATTTGTGCGCAATCCGCCCGTTTTCGGGCAGGTGCGCCCCAAATTGTGCGATGGGCTTCGTGTCGCGTCATCGGGCGCAATGGAGCTGGGATCTGGTTGGCCGTGCGTGGTCTCAGGGGGCCGCCTCTCTCCCCCCCTCCTCGGCCGCCGCTCGTTCTCCCTCCTCTCCTCTTACAGTGGAGGCCCATGCCAAGGCACACCCTGCTTGTCTCCAGGGTGCCCTGGGTTTCTTCTTGGGTTTCGACGGTTCTGCGACGGAAGGCGTGACGCTCCCACAACAAGAGTCAACGAACGCCTTGGGGTCTCCGGGTCGGGTTTCTTGTGGAAGGCTTCTTGTGGTCGGGCCTCCATTGTATGGTGCACCCGACTTGCTGCACAGCAGCCCTGCGTCCGCCTGGCCTATCTGCGCGAGCGCGACCAAAGCAGCCCTTGCGTCCTCCGCCGCTGTGCGGCGCCGTCGTGCCGCCGGACGCCCGAGCTTCGCCGCTCATTGTCGCCGCCGCTCGACGGTCGCTCGGTCGCCGCTCTTCCACGCCGCCGCCGCCGCTGTCGCCGCCGCTACCGTCGCATTGCGAGGGCAGGGGCACGATGTCCATGATCAAGGTGCCGCGGGATCTCGTCAGCGCCGATCTTGGCATTGGTTTATGCCGGCCGTCGCTGATCCGCGCCGCGAAGATGATTCACGGGTTGACGATGACCGAGGTGGAAGATGGCCAAGATCGACGCCGACGTTTCTGCGATCGTTCTTGCTCATGGGTCATTGCTGTCTTCCCTCCAGCAGTCACCCTCGTTCCGAGGCCAGGATCTGTGCACACGGTGCGCTCCAGCACGGGCCTCTTCGCGGGGTGGAGGTGTTGCTTTCAATTCCGGAAGGCCGGCGGAACGCGGCGGAAGTGGACCAAGGTTACGGTCGGATCGAGGTATAAGATCGAGATCGGCTCGGGGAGGGTGCCCTAACGTTCTTCATGTTTGTTGGATGTTCTGGTGCATCTTTGGGAATGATACCTTTGATTGTTCTTCAGTTTGGCCGGCGGAAGGTCTCATGCTCTTGAAGGATTTGTTTTGTCCTAGGTCCAGTTGTAGCCGAAGCCGGCAGAAGTAAAAGTTCGCCCCCCCAACAGATGTCGAGTGGTTTGGGTTCAGGGTTTCCGACGCCGAGCATCAATTCCCCTGGATCCCACGAGGCAGTGGAGATGTGGATGTATTCGGGGCCCAGGGGGCAGAATGCATCCATACCCATCGCCCCCCCGAGGTCCTGTAAGATCAGTTCCCCATGCTGCGGATGTGTATACACCATGGCCTCGCATTTGCAGTCGCCATCGCTGCCGCCGCCTGGCGTCGCTGCCGCCGGCGACTCGTTGCCGTCGACATCGCCGTCGACGTCGCTGTCGCCGTTGCCATCGCCGCAGTCTTTGCAATCGCCGCAGCCGCAGACTCCCCCAGCCCCCACGCGCCCTCACCCTCCTCCCCCTCCTCTGCCTACGCATCCTTCTTGCCCCTCCTCCCGTTCCTCCTCCTCCTCCTCCTCCTCCTCCTCCTCCTCCTCCTCCTCCTCCTCCTCCCCTTCCGTAGCCATTTTGGCTCAAGTTCGAAACGTTTCTTTGGCGTTTCGAACTTGTTCGCGGCCGAGGGGACGGCTCAGAGCGCCCTTCTTGCGGGGACAGTCCTCGCGGCACTTGAGCTTCATTGCTCGTGCCTTGTGGCTACGATCTCAGGTTTCGCAGATTTTCGTGTTCGCCTCAGCAGCCATGGCCATTCCTCCTGAGCTGCAGGCCTCGCTTGAGGTAATGTTCGAGAAGCAGAAGAACTGCATCCGAGAGGTGGTCCAGCAGGAGATTCAGACGGCGGTGTCAGGTCTGCAGGGGCAGATCTCCACGCAGGGGGCCGAGCTGAGCGCACTCCGAGCTGACCTTCAGAAGCAAAGTGAGCGATTGACGGCGCTCGAGACCAATGGCAGCACGACAGGGAGCACACGGACTGCGCACAGCTACCAGTCTTCGTTGAGCAGCGGTCTTCAGTTCGACAGCTACACGGAGACAAAGCCAGGAGGGTGACGCCAGTGATTGACCCCGAGAGCGACCCGTGCATCCGCTTCGTGGGCACATTCCCGAGGCCGCTGCTGATGAAGACGCGCCTGGCCCACTGGCGCCAGATGCAGGAACACTTCCCCGAGCTCGAGGACGACAAGCGGGTGACCGCCGTCTTCCACGGGGTGAACCAGGTCTACAGGCTGAAGGTTGTCAACGAAGATGACGCGACGAGCTTCCAGCCCAAGATGAACGACGTGAACATGGAGTGGGTGGACTTCCGCGACGGCAAAAAGTACCCGCTCAGGGTCAGGGACGATTTGCCGTCCCACGCCAGAAGAAGAGGGCCTTCTCGGGGCTCTACTGCGACGTACTCACGAAGTTGCAGGCCAGCCGTTCGTGGACGGGTGGATGCAAGCTAGGTGTCAACGGGCACAAGGGGATTTTGCAGGTGATAACGGACGACGACGTCTACGAACTAGCGCAGGCAGTGCAGCAGGGAGAGGGCACTTTCAAGCTAGAGCCGATCTACCCGAGTTTGCTGCACCTCGACATCACGAAGGACGCGATCGACGGGCTCATCGCCGCTCTTTAAACGGCGAGCGCAAGGCACCTCGGCCATGAATGTGAGAGCCCAGGCTCGGCAACGCGCGGGGCTTGCTGCGCCCAGCCTTGTGCTCTGGAGCCACATTGTGCTTTTTCCCCCCCTCCCTCGCCTCCAGCCAGTATTAGAGCAGAAGCATCGGTTTTTCCCGCCCCCCTCCTCCCAATGCTCTTACTACATACCTGATGCAGCGTTTCGGATATCAACATGGAACCCTCAGGCCCTCATTGGGTCGATGTATGCCGACCAAATTCGCGTTCAACATAAGTTTCATAAACTACATGCCGCTCTCCAGCGAAATCAGATAGTGCGTCTACAGGAAACTCATGGCGCCCCAGGGGAACTGCCGCATCTCGAGCGTGAGTTCAGGTATCACTCTGTCTTTGGCTCCTTCTGTTCACGTGCTTGCGCTGGTGGCCTCCTCATTTTGGTCGCCAGTGAGTTGCTGAGAGACTTCCCCCATTCCGACTTCCAGGAGGCTGCGCCAGGCCGGATTGCAGTTTTGAGCCTGAGCGGCCCAAAGGGAGAGTTGCAAATCGTCAATGTCCACGTTGACCCCGAATTTCCTGACCCCGCGGTCCGAAGGCAGTTTCTGGCTATTAAATCCATCCTGAGGCCCGCTCTGAACTCCACGCCCTTCATCCTTGGGGATTTCAACTGCCACGAGCCAGGGGAAGGTAGGTTCAATGTCGCTCACGGGACCGAGCGCTTCGTGTCCGCCAGGCGTGCCGCTCTATTTCGCTCTCTCTCTTTCCTCGCCGCGCAGAGCTTGAACAACCACAGTGCACGCGTCGTCGGGTCATCACACAGCCTACAGAATCAATATCCTATGGTAGATTGGACAGAATCTATTGCAGCATCCCTACTCCTGAGCTCCTAGACCTTAGCCCCACCTGTAACACGACATGGAACATCACCGATCTCACCTTCCCCTCCGATCAGGTCCCTGTGTGCCTCTCGCTGCAGCCCTGGAGCCGCGCCGCGAGACGTGCCTTCCGCCCTGGGTGTTCATGCGCCACTCGTTTGCGAAGTACTTTGAAGACCTTGCAGAGGGCCAAGATTTCAGTTCCGATCCAGCCGAGAGGCTGGAGGGAATCAAGTCGCTGATCACTGCTGCTGGCAATCGCGCCAAGACCGACATGCTTAAGACCTCAGCCTCCTCCCTGGCAGAGAAGTTGGCGCGCTGTCTCAGACTTGTCCGCGCGCACAGGTCTGGGCGCTGTTAAGCAGCAGCTGAAGCAGTTCATGATTACCCCACCCTCCTCACCTTCTACGATCGCGAGAATATGATTTGGAATGAATGGTCTAACTTCCATACCCACCTCCCCCCCCTCATGAATCAGGAGCTTGCGAAGCAAGAGGAGAACCTCAGGGACCCCGAGGGCACCCCCCAGCACAACGCAGACTTTCACCTGATGAGGATTAGGCGGCCGGCAAAAGCTTGGCAGTCGAAACAGCGAACCATCTGTCTCCGTGGGATCCTGGACCATAACGGCATCGCCCATACTGAGCCCTCGGTGCGTGCGCAGCTGCTCTGTTCTCATTGGGGCAATGTCTTTGGCGCCTGGAAGGGCACCGCGAATCCTGGAGGCCAATTCCTGGAGCTCGTTCCCCCCATGGACCCCGACGAGTACCAATACGCGGATTCGACTCACCAGGGGTTTCCCCGGAGGAAAACATTCGATCAGTTCCTGGATCTCCTGCACCGGAAAAAGGATTATGTCCCAGGACCCGGCGGCTCTGCGATTATGACCCTGTACCAGAATATGATTTGTTGGATTCACTTCAGAGGCTCCCCCAAGTTCTCTTTCACGGCCCTCAGAGGAGTAAAACAAGGATGCCCATTGTCTGGTGTATTATTTGTTCTGCGCCTAGATCCACTGCTGCGCTTTATCGGCCTGCCCCCCACGGACTTGCCGAAACAAGTCTCCGCGTTCGCAGACGACCTCGGCTTGGTGGCCGCGGACATTTTTCGCGCGCTTGGCCCTCTCACCCGCGCGATCGCGCAGTTTGGCTTCTCCTCGGGCTTGATACTGAACACCGCCAAGTGCGTGATAATCCTCACTGACCCTGGCAAGCTGGAGAACGCCGTTGCCAAGTTTAAGGAGGCAGGGATAAAAGCGCACAAGTTTAAGGTTCAGCTCTTTGGGAAGCACCTTGGATTCATTCTTGGAGCCGATGGTCTGGACCGTTCCTGGAAAACTGTTGGTGCGAAACTTTTGGCCCGGGCCCACTCGGTCAAAAGTCTTGGGGGAGGCCTCATTACCAGTCTCGCAGCCCACAACAGGTATGCCCTCCCAGTGGCTTCGTATATGGGCCAGGGCTTTCGGTCCAACAAATTCGCGCTCCGAATGGAGAGGGTGGCGCACCAGCTGCATACGTGCAGCCCTCGCCACTCTTTCCCTCCTGGCCTGTTTCATCGCTTTCAGGAACTCGGCCTAGGTGCGCAAGCGAATTCTTCACGCTTCGCGTATCCCCACCAGCCCATCTCAAAACAGCAACTCTTGCGAAGCATGCCGACAGTCGTGTTTTTTTCAGGCGTGTTTCCGCCTGCCCCCGCATATCTCCCCTGTTCCTCCTTCCCCCCGCCCCCTTGCACATCCTCCTTGTGGTGGGAGCGGGAGAAGGACGAGGCGGAGGAGGAGGGAGAGAAAGCGCTCCTCGTGGTTTGAGTCGTTTGGGGTTTCTCGTCCTGGTGTGAGTCGTTCGGGCCCTTCTTCCTGGTGTGAGTCGTTCGGGCTCTTCGTGGTGTGAGTCGTTCGGGCTCTTCGTCCTGGTGTGAGTCGTTCGGGCTTCTCGTGGTGTGAGTTGTTCGGGCCCCTCGTCCTGGTGTGAGTCGTTCGGGCCCCTCCTCCTGGTGTGACTCGTTCGGGCTCCTCGTGGTGTGAGTCGTTCGGGGCCCTCGTCGTGGTGTGAGTCGTTCGGGCTCCTCGTGGTGTGAGTCGTTCGGGCGCCTCGTCCTGGTGTGAGTCGTTCGGGCCCCTCCTTCTGGTGTGAGTCGTTCGGGCTCTTCGTGGTGTGAGTCGTTCGGGCCCCTCGTCCTGGTGTGAGTCGTTCGGGCTCCTCGTGGCGTGAGGCGTTCGGGCACCTCGTCCTGGTGCAAGTCGTTCGGGCCCCTCGTAGTAGGAGTAGTAGTGATCGTAGAGGGGCCTCTTGGGCTCTCTTTTGAGGCTCTTGGGAGCGTCCGGGGGCCCTCTTGGGCGCATCTTGGAGCGTCTTGGGGGCCTGTTGGGGCCATCTTTGGGGCGATCGATCACAGATGGGGCGAGCATTTTTGTCAGTACCGCCGTCGGGGCCACGATCCTCGTGAGGGGTGTCGAATTTTAGCCCTCCCAGGGGTAGAAAAAGGACCCTCTGACCACCCGCGAAACCCCCTCTCCAGGTCCAGGGGGAGGGGGTAGGGGGAGGGGTAAACCCCTCCCCGAAAGGGAAGAAGGAGGGTTGAGAACAGAGAGAGCTCGCTAAACCACTCACGCCCAAAGGGCTGGTGGGATTCTCTCGAGGTGCAGAGCCGCGCTGCCAGGCTCAGGGTTGCGCACAATTCCTCCCTCTCCCTCAACCTACGGGATAAGCTCCGCGAGGTCCTAGAGTCTGATGAGTTGCTCCTCACCCACAGCTATGATGTGCAGTATCGGCGCTCCCTTTTCGCGCAGTTGATGGAGGACTATGAGTCGTCCGTCTTTATCCCCAGGCTTCCTGATCCTTGCGTACCCAAGCGGGTGCAGAAAAGATTGGCCGAAATGATATCAGCTGACGCTGACCCGAGCCCAGTGTCCTTCCTACTGTGCCCGAGAATCAAAAAATGGGTTCCCTGCGTATCGAATCACCAGTTTGACCTGTGTTTTATTCGTGTTCTTCGGGCTGCTCAAGTTGTTCCTGGATTTATCTTCGTCGGGCCGTTAAAAACCATATTCAACAGCTGGAACACTACAAGACGTTACAGACAAGGGCCAGGTAGATGTGTATTTGGATGCTAGTGCGTTGGAGGCGACGATGTCCTCCATTATTTGAGTTGTGGCGTATTTCGCCCCGTCCTTCAACGCCTCCCCCCTGCTCTTCCTGAAGATTACGGTGAAGATCCCTTGAGTTCCTTCCTCCCTCACCTTTTCCACCTCTCGGGCCCCGATGTTCTGCCTAGCCATCTTGTTGCATTGGATGCCATCCATTCGTCCTTTCAAGCTTTGCGTGCCTCCCCCCCCGTTTCCCAGCAATTCGCACAGCAAGTTATACAGGGTAGGCTCCGTGTGTCTATCAGGCGTTCGCCTAAGCTGCAGGGCCTGCTCCGCTAGGCCGTGGACAAGCAGGACACAGCTGGGTGGGGCTCCTCCTCCTCCTCCTCCTCCTCCTCCTCCTCCTCCTCCTCCTCCTCCTCCTCCTCCTCCTCCTCCTCCTCCTCTTCCTTCGACGACGACGACGACGACGAACACGGCGACGACGGCACCGGCGGCGGCGGCGGCGACGGCGACGATGACAGCGGCACCAGCGACGACAACGGCAGCGGCGACGGAGACGCCGCTCGACCGAGGTGCTGGAGGCGTTGCTGCTCACGATGGCGCGATGAGTCGTCGTCGTGCGCTGTCGTCGACCACGTCGCCGTCGCTGTCATCGTCGCCGCCGTCATCGTCGCCGCAGTCGTTGCTGCAGGCGTCGCCGCCGTCGGCGTCGTCATCGTCGCCATCGCCGTCGGAGGGGGAGGGGGAGGAGGAGGAGGCGGCGTCGGAGCAGACATTCGTTGTGAGGGAGGGGGGAGGACGGGTGGAAGGAGAACGGGAGGAAAGGACGAAGGGGGGAGGAGAGTGAGGAGGTGCGGAAAGGAGGAAAGGGGAGAGAAGAGGACAAGGAGGCGGATGAGGAGGAGGAAGAGAAGGAGAGGGAGGAGATAGAAGAGGAATAGGAGGGGGGGAAAGGAAGACGGGAGAGCGGGGGAGGAAAGAGCAGGAGGCAAGGGAAGAGAAGGAGGAGGAGGGGATAGGAGGAAGGAGGTGGAGGAG